ATTATATCTTTTTCATTTGCTGGTAACATACAGAATGATCAAATATTTATTTTCATCTGCAAAAATACTAGCACACTGAGCTAATCTATCATCATACTGTACTAATATTTCATTTTGGCAAGTTAGCATTGGACGGACTATGCTGTTTACCATAATCTTTATAACCATTTATTCTTTTCTATAATCCGCTAATCATGAGAAAAATAACAGCAGCAGATTTAGGAGTGTTAAAATCCAAAATCTAGATTTGCAATTAATAAAACAAGAACATTCTAATCTCTCTCTCTGGCATAATTCAATAATACACTACTATATCTAGGAGCTCACCGCATGCCACAGGAAGACATTCTAAGACTGTACCACACTGTGATTTCAAATTGCAATGCTATCAGTTTATACAACAAATTTTTTAGGTGTAGTTAAGATCATGTTTTAGCCTTATTTACATAAACACTTTACTAGCAATAATATAGCCCAAAAATGCTTAAAATATAGACTTTATTTAAATACACAAATGAAATCACAATAACAAGATGTATCTACGAGATAATATTAGGGCAATGCGACTCCCTCGACTATCCCAGACACACACTACCCACTGAACCATGATGAGCTTAAAATATCATGATATCATTGTGCATTGATGAGGACAAAAGGTTGGGAATATCATTACCTAAACCTTAGTGTGGACGGGTATCACTCCCTGCACCCGAGTGTGGCTGGGTATCACTACCTACACCTGAGAGTGGGCAGGTATCACTACACACACCTGGGCGTGGGGTGGGTGTCACTACCTACACCTGAGAGTGGGCGGGTATCACTACACACACCTGGGCATGGGGTGGGTGTCACTACCTACACCTGAGAGTGGGCGGGTATCACTACACACACCTGGGCATGGGGTGGGTGTCACTACCTACACCTGAGAGTGGGCGGGTATCACTACACACACCTGGGCGTGAGTGGGTGTCACTACCTACACCAGAGTGTGAGCGGATATTTCACAAAACCTGGATTGTAGTACCATCTGGTTCTCTTCAAACTCCAAGTAAGTCTGGTTGAGATACTTTTAAGCTCATCCCAATTCAGTGGGGTATCTGAGGAGACCAGGAATGCAAGTTCTATCCCATTCCATTGCCTCAATATTTTCTCATTAAAATGAGTTACCGTTTTGTACTGGAATAAGAAATGAGCCGTTCCAACGATAACGTAGCTATTCTCCTTTGTGAGCCCCCTGCAGAAGCTGGAAAGTATAATATACAATCACTCATACTGTACAGAAACAATTTACCGGGTAATAGGATGAAAACTTATCCTTCCATAGCATAAACAATGAATAAATCTAAAATAGTAAAATATTGACAATTATTTAATTAATAGTGAAAAGATTAAATTTTGTATGGGTCTCTCGTCAACAATGCAGAGATTACTGTTGGACCAAGTAAAAACAAACAGGAAAAAATCATTAAACCTTGCTACAAACTTTTCATGCAGTTTTGGATTCTGGCTATTTATTTAATTAGCAAATTGCTCCCAACTAAGTTTCACCTTAAATATTTGAGTATGCAACAGCAGGCATCTGAGCATGACTACACAGGAACAAGAGTACCGGGTATATAATGAGGAAGGACGAGAAGATCATGCACAGCCACGGCAATACTAAAGACACTTTTAGTTAAAATGAGTGCTAATAAAGAAGAATAAATACAACATATAGTGGATCTTGTGGGATACAAAAATACGGGCTGAACCATCTAGTGAGCTACAATCACTGTGGGGTCAAGAAATAATCTTGGCACTTTCATGGGAAAATGTTAGTAATAATTCACATTCAGTCATAAAATGCAAGTGTTAGCATACACATCCAAGTTTGATTCCTGTGGATAGAGATGTTTGGGTAAGATTCCTTGTACTGTACTTAGCAGTAAATAGGTCCCAGGAGTTAGGCAATTTTCATGGGGGGTGTATCTTGAGGAAGATCAGAACAGTAGTTGCCCAATTGCAGGCCTCGATAAGCCTAAGTAAAAGCCTTCTGTCTCCAACAATGGGAACCCAAAAGCAAATCACAAACTGTGCTATAATGTATGCCTTGACATGCTCATTACAGTTACATAATGTATGCTTTAACACACACATTTCAATCAGATATCTACAATATTGTGCTCTAACAAAACATTGTATCAATACATCACCCAAGATATTCTCAGGTATTTGACAGGTACCGTATTTGATATTTACTCATCAAATACCTGAAGTAAGAGCAGATGCACTTAGCTCAATAACTACTCCAGTTCAAGTTGGAAAAAAAAATCAGCATATTTTCCCAAGGAAGTAGTCATTATGACAAGATGTAAAATGATTGCTCTGACATAATAAGACGAATAATGGAACAGCCTTGTAAACATATGAAGAGGAAGTACTCATAGAATAATTCATGTCTATAAGTACTGTATGAACACAGGGACACCTCCTATCATATCACCCTGTACATTTAAACAGCAGTTAAATATATTTATAAAAAAGATTGATTTTTACATCTATTTTTACATATCTATATAGGATAAAAACCTATAAACCTACCCATTCACATCAATTTTCTTTTCAAGCACAATAAGAGGTCTCACAAAACGAAAGAAAATGAAGAGTAACATTCCAAAATAATATACAGTTCCATGACCAATGAAGCTGACCTTGGTCCCACAGTTATGGGCAATGTCCCAATTACAGAGAAAATGGCTGAGCATCAACTTAATAATAAATAATGAATGAGAGACAATTCTAAATAAAGTAAACATGACTAGCAATACAGCAGTGACACGGTAACTGTAAACAGCCTCCAACCATTGAGATATGTAGGGCACAATGAAGATAAAACAAAAAAGGTATGAAGTTTGCAGATGAAAACATTAAGAATCTTCATTGGTACCCATTAACATGTACAGCATTGCCAACAATACAGAACTCAGATCCTCAAAATCTTCTGGCAAAAATGCATGTAAATACTGTACATAAAAACACAAATAAAATGAGACATGTACTGTACAAAGAGAAAGTGATGTACTGAACATAAAATTAATATAAAAAAAGGCATTTGATACACTATTAAATTATCAAACTAATTTCTAGTATCTATATCGTTATGTTGACACGCACAATGCTGGTGTGGTTGATAGAGTGTATGTTTCAGATGTAACACAGTTAATAGAATGTACTGTACTTTTATCAGCCTCTTATAAAACACAAGGCTTACGTGTTACTTAGCAATTACAAATTCATATAAAGCAAACCTACAGTGATAACACAGTCGAGTGCTGAGTAAATTCCGAGCAAATTCCCAAGTACTGTAGTACTGTATGTATATTGTGTATGAAATTAAGATTTTCCCATTATTTTCAGGGTACATATGACAATGAAACTAAGTTGGAAATTGGAGATGAAAAACCTATGAGACACCAATTTCCATGATCATTGCATGTAATGCACTCTGAAGAACATTATAAAAGAAATATTAGTTATGCTTGCTACATCAAAATATAAACACCACATGCGCCTAAAAGAGTGCTCCACCCAACAAAATGCACAAAACTCGAAGGAAAACAGTAGCTACGTGACAAAAACATGAAAACAAACATTGCTTCATTAGATTACTATGTTAATTTTAATACTTAGTGCTGAGGAAACTACTTAAATTCAATCACCGTTTATTGTTATTGTCCAATATAATAAGTTTTCATAAATCATTAATATCACAATATCACTAGAACTAATTTCAATGGATTTTTACTTGAAACTAGTAGTGTAAAACTCACAAGCCTCCCTCAATAGGATTCTCTACTCAGCTTGTACAAAACACTGCCACACTAATAATCCACATTTGCGATGTTACTCTGTGTAGCAAGAGGTGCGGAAAGGATGTTTATGTCTAGCTGTCTTGTCCTACACGTATTACACTCTCTTCTCTGCTCAAACTCTTCTCCACCTCACGAAAGTGTCAAATTGGGTAATGTACTACTTATATACAGTATTACTCTCCTGTCAAGTTCAAGTATGTTTATTGAGATAAGCAAGAAATACATCTCAAGGGATAGAGTAGCTTAGGCTATTTCTACCCCCCTCCTCTCCTGTCTTCTCTTGGCCAGTTCTTTCCTATTTCACAAAAGTGGGAAATTGTATAATATTGATGACGATATGTGGTGTAGCACCTTTTCCTGATAATTATTTTCTTGATTCAGTACTGTAATGTTAATCTCAAGAGTTAATGCGCACAATAATAATAATTTAAATAAAAAATAATAAACCTACATTACAGTGCTAGTAATCCAAATATAAATAGCAAACCATAAAATTCGAAGTACTGTATGGGGTCTCTTCACTGTGACAGAATAGTTTTCGTAAGGGGAAAAAAATAAAAATAAAAATCTTGTACATACTGTATATGGAAAATATCTCTCACTGTCTGGAAATTCAAACCAGGATCAAATGATTGTGAGCTGACTGTACAGTATATGTTTCAATTCAGAACCTGCTTAAAACTTATACAGTACTGTACTGTAATTACATACGACATTGAAATAAAATTGATGGATGTTATGACTGTCTTTTCATCAACAAGAAATTTTAGTGTAATAACTTTCATTAGGTCTAATAAATGGAGGGATAATACATTTGCTTCATTTTCACTATGCAACTAAATTTCACCTAGATGTACTATTGTGGGCTATAAGTACTAGTATTAACATTTGATATAGGATGTTAGTCAATCATACCATGCTAGAGTGATTATCTTGCATATCATATGGTACAAGGGAGACTATCCTGCACATTGTATGATACTAGGAAGACTATCCTGCATGTTGTATGGTGCTCCTGTATCTTGGGGTTATCTCGAGATGTTTTTGGGGCTTAGCGTCCCCGAGGCCCGATCCTCGACCAGGCCTCCTTTTTGTTACACACCCCCAGGATGCAGCCCGTAGCAGCTGTCTAACTCCCAGGTACCTATTTATTGCTAGGTAACAGGGTCATCAGGGGGAAAGAAAATTTTTGCCCATTTGTCTCCGCCTCTACCGGGGGATCGAACCCGAAACCTCAGGACTACGAATCCGAAGTGTTGTCCACTCAGCTGCCAGGTGCCCTAGGGAGACGCCTGCTCCCTACTAGGGAGACTATCCTGCACATTGTATGATACTTGGGAGACTATGCTGCACATCGTGTGTTTGTGAACTTCAATAATGTTCTGGTAATATGTTGTTGTGGCATTCTTGAATGTATTTTAATTAAAAGAAATTGACACTATTATATGTCTCATTTTAAAGATATAGTCCACAAAATGAGACAGCATGTTAGAACAAAGTGCCCCCCTTTGCCATCCCTCATTTAGTAAATGATGATGGTAATCATCATATAGTCATCATTATAATGATGACTATAAGTTGTTTTCCCTATCAGGGATACCTAATAATAACTTCTAACAAAAAATGACTACTAGATAGTTACACTGTTCCATTTCAATAAGAACTGTATTACAGTACTGTACATATATAAATATTCAAAGTTTAAAGTTAAAGAAAGCAAACATTCTAACAATATTGTCTTGAAATCAAGTGAAAACATGCACAAATTTTAAGTACCAAAAGTGAAAACAACTGGCTCTGGATTCTTTCGAGGACCGAAACTTTAACTGATGCTAACGTTGACATTGGCAAGTACTATACTGTACTCAAAGCCCAATGCATTGGCTAGTACTGCACAATCAGTCAATTCATTTAGTGCATTTCCTAAAGTTGTACTATCCAGCATATTGGTTATTACTATAAAAAGTAGGTACACCTACTGCTGTAGAAAATATGGTAAATATGTTTATTCACTGTTCTGGCATTGCTTAGAGACCCATATACAAACTTTTACAAAAGTGGCCATAAGGAAGGTTATATGTCCCAATTAAAACTGGGAAGGTTGTTTCCTGGCTAAAAATGTATAATAAGTTTGATGTCAATAAGAAGAGGCATCCTCAAAAGATTCTGTAGAATCTGCAGCACAGAAAGACACAAATACTTAGAAGGTGAGCTAGACTACATTCTCCTCACCAAAGATGTGTATGTAGTGACATTACCGTGCTCTCCAAAGCACACTAACAAAACATTATAATTATTCAGTAGAGAACTCTGTGGGGGCCTGTAAATTCTGATCACATTTCATAGCTATTGAGCACTTCATAGTCGAGTGGTGCTTAAACAGGGAAGAGCCCAAGAAACCAGTAATACTGATACAAGGTAAGTTATAATTGTGGGTCTCAAAGATGCAGCCACCGAGTCTGTATCACGTATTGAGGGCTCCATATAGTACGGATTTTCAACGTTGGGACAACCAAGCCATAATGGTGCAGACAAGGCAGGAGACTTCGGTTTCACTTTCATACGGAAGTCATCAAATTCCCAGAAAACTTTTCCTTGGAAAAAGTATGTTGTACCTGGAACAAAATAATAAAAAAATACAGTACAATAAATTAACATAAGAACTTAATTTGTTAATATGTAAATGGCATACATTATTTAATAACATTTAAATCTTACACAGTAGACATTAGGATATCATACCAGTAATTTCTATCAAGAAATCTCTCATCCATAATACTGTACTGTAATTATAATTGGCCCTAATACCTTTGACAGTTTCTAATTTCTAAATCAGTTCCCTGCATGGGACACATGACAATGACACGAAGCTTTTTAAATTCAATGAAAATATATAATCTGTCCATCCATTCATTTATCGTGTTATTCTGGTGACGTAATAAATCTCAGGAGGTTTGGCAAACAAGATTCTTTTGACATAAAACCAAATGGTTTGTGTACAGTCATCTTGTTTTCAGATGGTCTACCATTTTTAGCCCGATTGCTTTTTCTATTATTTTATTTGTTACACTGGTTAGTGATACTCTACTGGTCAATAATTAAATAATCCTTATTGTCACACTTGTAATATATTGGGTACAGAGTTAGTTATTTTCGAGTTGAAGCTTGTTTTCACTCTTACAGTGAGACATGTCTATAGAACCCAAAGGTGATATTTCATCTGACACACAATTGCTTTGTTTGATCAAAGTACATTAGAAGTTTTCTTAACCATTTCTAATAATTTCTACATTTTATATTTTGTTTGATCACTGCAGAGGCAATTCTGGTGCTACGAAATCTTATTCCACTCTGGGTCCTGTAGCACATTGGACTATGTCCTTGCCACACAATCAAGAGACCCGGTTCAATTTCCAGGCAGGACAACCTAATGGGTACATCTCCTTTCATCTGATGCTGCTGTTCAAAGGCTGTGGGTTGCATGCTGAGGAAGGTCAGCACATTCGTAGGGGTGATCTCAATAATCCTAGGTATAAGCTTCCTGTCCCCATTAATGGGAATTATATGCTCTGGAATTCTGTCTTTGTTGCCTAACATGTTTCTATTACTTCAATTATAATTCAATCATTTTATTCAATTAAGCATTATCTACTTAATACTGTACAGTACTATATGGATTTGTGTATTTTAATTAAATTACTGAATACAGCTGCTGCCTTCTATTATTACCTGTGTGTAGCTAATATACAGTACATTTTTAACATGCATTCTTCCACATGTTTAAATACTTTCACCATCTACAGTACTTCACTGGTTTTTCTACTTTTGTTTTTTTATTCCAGCTTTCTTATCAGTTGTTGTTCCAACTTTCGTATCAGTTATTCCAGCAATCTCTCAGTTGTTGATGAATTGCTATGAATTATTTGTTTACACTTGGTTTTCCTGAATAATGTAATGGGTAAAAATATCTTGGCCTGTAAACTTTGAATACAGTATCAGTTTACCTTCTATATCTTAAGTTCTCCAGCTGCATTTTTCACTTGCATTTTTCACCTTTTTTTTTTTTGCACCTCCAGATTGTAAGCTTATTGCTTTGTTTTAATAGCTTTCCTCCTTCTAATCCAGTTTCCCGATTCTTTCCATCAATTTCATTATTACTGATTTTGCAGTGGAAGAAAATCATCAAAGTCCTTTTATATTACATTTTTTTTTCTTTATCTTCCTCTTCTAGCGACTGGTGGGTCAAGCTCCCATCTCCAGAAATTATTCAATCCACTGTAGGTGGGCTACCAGTTAGGTGAATCATTTCACTGTGTTACAAACCGTTTTTATTGTGTCTATCTTACTTCTCAACATATCACTTTATATTTGTTAAAAATAGATCATATACTGAGGCAATACTCTCGGACCTCTCACTACAATAATGGGTAACTCTTAGGCTGACGACGTCACTGCCAAGAGCTCTCAGCAACATAAAACTTCATAACAGTTGTATATGCATGCATGTGTGTAAATTCAACCCATCCTCCTGTTTAAACAGCACTTTTTCTAAGCATGTGGATCATCGTATATATATACTGATGTAATGGAAAATTAGATACAGTATTGTACTGTAGTAGAATTGGGTACTACTGTACTGCATTCACTTTTTAAGTCTAGAAAAAATAAAGTTAAAAACCAAACTTAAATATTCCTAGGTCTAATATAACACACACACACATATATATATATACAGTAGTATATTGGGCCTCAGATCACGTGTATTAAGCCTAGGATGGTTAGGTTAGGTTTTTATTAGCACATACAGTACTGTAAATACCAAACATTTTCTGGTTTGTCCTAATTCAATAGTATCAAATTCTAACTGTCCTAATTGTCCATTCCATCATTATATATGTATGATGATCCCCATCATTACTATAAATACTATCTAAGCAAGAGGATGGGCTATGTAAACTAGTCTTTCATGTACCCACCATTAAACTTGAAGGCAGAGTCAATGCCATACGGAACACCTCTCCACATGTCCATGGCTCGGGGATAGTCCAACTCAACATGCTGAATAGTTTCATCAAATCTGTTGAATGCCGCAACAAATTTGATTGCAAAATATTAAAATGATTCGCAACATTTAATATTAGAATTATTCAAATACAGAAATGCACAGATCTATTAATGACAAGGTTCCAGTCAGTTACATAAAGTTACGTACCATATTTACCTAACTTCAATTGTTACCATACTGTACAACATATATTTAATATTATGAACACTTTTATTGTACAAATATGAAAAAGATGAATAGACATATCTTGAGGTTCTCTTAAGACATAAGCTAGGTAAATGACATATTTACAAAATACTACTAGCAAAGATACCTGCATAAACAACTGCCAATATTGCCAGATTAATGTTAATCAAGACTGTCCCTAGCATATGAAAAGTTTATTATTACTCCCAATGCTGGTACAGAAAAAGCTATGACACCATTATCTTACCTCCAGTACATTGTGTCTGCAAATAAGTAAGTTCGGCCATTGTATCCCCAGACAAATGCCGCATCTATCTTCTTCAGGTCCTCCGGTAACCCAAGATTTTTTAATCCTCCTACCTTCATCAACTGGTGATTTCCTTGACATACGTAGAACTTATCTCCTGCAAGACAAAACAGTGTCCATGTAGGTCAAGACACCTTGTGTAGGTCAAGACACCTTGTGTAGGTCAAGACACCTTGTGTAGGTCAAGACACCTTGTGTAGGTCAAGACACCTTGTGTAGGTCAAGACACTTTGTGTAGCACATATTACAATCCATCGTATTGAGTTGTCACGTCACAAAAATTATGTACTAAATTGGTCAAACTAACCAAACTGAGGGCCCAGGAATAGAAAATATGACAGCCTGTTAATTTTGCAAGATGCTATGGCTCCATAGCAGCTTGCAAAACATAGATGGCCCCAATGACCATCATATTTTGACCACTGGGAATACTATATGTGTCAAAATGCAATGAATTTGCATTTTGAGAGTATATTGAGGGGGAGAACTCTCCTTTTACCAAACACAGTAATAATTGTTAGCAAATATTTTTTGACTGAAGAACTGAGGACTTCTTTCATATAATGTGCCAATAAAATAATTTATCTGGAATCAAGGAATTTCACAATATGAATATAGTACTGTATATATTTATTTTATCAATACAGTACACTACTTTAAAACTACATAATGGTTTCTTACCAATAAAGAACACAATATTTGCATCATGAGTTCGTTCGTATACTGCATCAATGTGCGTGATGTTCTTGGGAAGCATCGTCCAGAACCGTGAAATTTCTGCCGGATAATTTGGTCTCAGATTCCCTGCTCCATCAAGCCGCCAGAAGTACTGCAACAATGAAATTACATTCCTAACTTTCTCTATTTAGCCTATACTCTTTATAGATAAAAAATAATCAAAATATTATATTTTCACAAAACCTTGACTAAACTTAATTATACCAACCTTGCCCTTAAATATATATATCTCTCTTCTTATCACAGATATAGCATCATAACTAGTGTCACATGTGTCTGGCTTCTCTGTAGTTTTAGGAGGCTGGATTGGTTTCTTAGTAATTGGAGGCTTGGTAACAACAGGGGCTCGAGTTGTTGGCGGAGACGTTGGCTCGGGATATGACTCCTGCCTCCAGTTCTCATCCACACCTGAAGGTACATTAAATTGTAATCCAGCAATTCAATAAAAACTTTTTTATATATCATACACGGGCGGGTACAGGAAAAGACGACTTCTGATTGCTGTTCTCATGCTTAAAGCCTTCCCTCATTGTAAGCCTGACCATTCTAGTTTTCCCGGGGAAGAGGGGGGAAAATGTCTATGTCCACTCAAAGGATGAGTGCATGGCTCAGCCCAATGAACTCGCTCTTCGGGCCAAATTAAACAAAATTATGACGAACCAACGAGTTTACAACTGGGTTCTCTATTAATGCCAAGTGTGATATAAATGAAGAGTGTGGTGTAAGTGAAGAGTGTGGTGCTTGTGTGACAAACACACTAAGTGTAGCAGAAGAATAACAAAAAGAATGACAAAGGATATACAGTACTCATATATATATACTGTATATATATTAAAGAGAAGGAAAGAGAGACCACACTATGAAGAGAAGGAAGGAGAGACCATAGACACTGTGAAGAGCAGATCTACAGGTACATTATTAATAAAAGCTGAGTCCTGAGGACTTATAAAAGTTCAAGGCTGCATTAAGATAACACACAACCATCTACCATATACAAATAACAAATACTATGTCACTTGAAATTATATATTTATTTTGATTTCCAAAAATTAAAATGCATAAAAAGGAAATCATGATACATGTACAGCTTAAATATTATGTTTTAATGTCCGTCTAATGAAGATACAAAAAAAATTATTCTGAAAATATATACTGTACAGTACCTATTATGTGGTAACACCTGTAAATCTAACATTAAAGACATGCAATTAGAAAAGATCAACACACATTTAAATAAATAATAAATATGTTTATTCAAGTAAGGTACATACCTGTACATACAAGTGATGTTACATTAATGGATCGATATATAGATAGAGCTAGTACATACAATGCCTAAAGCCACTATTACGCATTACGCAATGCGTTTCGGGCAAATTTCATCTTAGATTGTTTATAATGCACATACTGTAGCCATTAGCAGAGAAAACCATGTACTGTACCATAGTACAGTCATTACCGAGTACCACTCTAACCATTTTAACCTGTCAATGTACTAGTACCAGTATTGTATACTGTAGGAATAAAATATTATTATTATTATTACTGTACAGTATTAGAATATGTTATATGCTAGAAAAAATGCATCGACACACACCATAGAGCTCCTGGATGCCTCTGACATCATCTTCAGGCAAGCGGAAGGTGATGGGGAACTTGATAAGATAGGGGCTCATAAGGGCACCTTCAACATCTGAGTGGTAGAGCCCCAGGGCATGACCAAGCTCGTGGGCCGCTGTTATAAACAGACTCACACGATCCCACGCTGCAAATACACAACCACATTTGCCCTTTACATTTGCCATGTGAAAAAAATGACACAGCAAAACTTAATATAGTACTAAGGATTTTTTATGTATATCTCATAATCTTTCACATTTGTAAATTATTATTATTTATACAAAATATTGACATGAGATAATTTTTGATAAAGTGGACAGTGGTTTCGTCTCGCTGTTCTGCTCCAAACATTTTCTCATAGATGTATTACGCTATTGTAATTTCATTGTGTACTGATATAACTTATGCACTATATAATATTATACAGTGTTGTTAGAAACTTCTCTAATTCTATTACATTCTCATATAACTTCACATGCAGACATGATAAACTGTATTGGCTATGTTATTTGTTTTATTTATTACTGTATCATGTATGATAATGGAAATTACAACATGCACTTCAAATGCAGATGTCCTCACTGTTGTTGGAGTCCTTGTGCTGGACCCAGGGCTCCTGGTCATCAAAGTGCATGTCCCCTCCAATCCCCCGGCCAGGGTAGAAGGCGTGGGCCAAGGTGCGTCCTGGACCGTCAAAAGGATATCCATCTCCATGGTAGCCTCTGATTGGAAATGAGTTTCCTCATTAAAACAATGCTTAGATTGATTGATAACTACAGTCTTTTCCAACAGATGGGAAGCATGCATCTGGACCATTACCCACCGAGTACATATTGTATGTAATAGGAGGGGTGGGGTACCTGGTGGTGCCTCGGACAGTCTGTCTCTCCCACCACCCCTCTTCCTTTTCCATTGCCCCATGTCTTCCCTCTTCCTCAGCAATCCCCCCCCCTCTCCACTCTCCCTCCCATCTCCCACATTCTCTCTCTCCCATCTCCCCCATTTTCCCCACCCTCGCCTCCATCTTCCTACCCTCCCCACTCCCTCCCCTCCAACCTCGAACAGATAGATATTTCAATTTTTATATACAGTATGTAATTAAACAATGAAAATGCACAGGTAAATGGTGGCAATAACCAAAACAGTATGGATAGCACATGCTCAATTTCATCCTGTTTCCATTTCAGACTTTATGAAAATCGCTTGGGGGTGATGGATTACAGGCCATATTTGTTAAAGCATTTAAACCCATTCAGCATATATCTGTCCCATATCCCAGATCATTCCCTCTAGAAATCAGGGAGAGGCTAACCCTCAAAAGCATCAGGCCTTAAAATTTGGACAGACAGACAGACAAGACATTTTCTCTTATAGTACAGATTTACACGAACAAAATCATGCTTTCCCCCATAAAGCCACTTTCAGTAAATGCATAATAAAACATTTTAATATCTTTTTCCAATATAAAATCATCGTAAATGAGGTTGCCTTTTTATCTGCCAGAAAATACGGTAGTAAGAAGAATCTTGTTTAATGATTTTCACAAAGAAAATGTTAGGGAAAGAAATTTAAACTGTGTTTACGGTAATCATTATTCAAACCAAATCACACTACAATACTAACAAATAAATTATAGAGTAAAATACTGTACAGTACTGCAGTATTAAAAAGAGTAATAATGTACAGTACTATGGAATTATAGAGAGTAATACTGTACAGTACTGTGGTATTATAGAGAGTAATACTGTACAGTACTGTGGTATTATAGAGAGTAATACTGTACAGTACTGTGGTATTATAGAGAGTAATACTGAACAGTACTGTGGTATTATAGAGAGTAATACTGTACAGTACTGTGGTATTTCAAAGTCAATAATAGGTTTTGACGAGGATCTTGTGACCTTCGGCAGCAAACACCTGATGAGGTTACCTAGTGTTTAAGCTACATTTCTTTCTATTCAACTACAATGCCTTATGCAACCATATTGCTTTGTTTAATCATATACAGGAATATTATGACATACTGTACAGTAATTGCAAAGTATTTCAGGTAATTTCTTCTTCAAAAAAAAGTCTCATAATATTGTCTGACAAAACATGAAATGCAGTACATACGTTTTAAAGTCGATGATGATGTCCGCATCCTGGGGGTTGTTCTCCAGCTCTAGGAACAGCAGTCGAGATGCTCTATCCCAAACCTGTCAAGAGAAAATGATTGTAGAAGAGTACAGACTACAACAGGAGGAGCAGAGGTAGCTCCCCATAATAGGGGTTTGTCCATAGGCTTCACAGGAAGCCTGTACTTAGGCCTATCGAGGTCCCTCTAGGCCAAATACTGACCTTTCCCAAGATGAAACCCATAACAGTTGCCTAACTACCAAGTCTGTATTTTTTCTGCTAGATGAACAGAGGCATCAGGTAAAATAAGCATACACAACCATTTCTGTCCTGCCCGAGGATTGAACCACGGTCCCCTGATTGTGGGTCGAGGACATGGATCATTATGCAGTAGTTGCCTGTGCACACCCTCAGTGTGCACAGGCAACTACTGCATAATATGTTCCATGTTCTATGTGAACATGGAATGTTAAGGATGAATTATATGAACACCTGTATCCTTGTGAAGAACCTTGATATACTGTGTGTTTGTGATGAGTACCGGTATATACAGTACAGTATATATATGTATAAACATGCATGCATGTGCATCTATATATTGATGTATATGTGAGCAAAGTTGGAATGGTCCACAAGCATTTACTTTCCTTAAAACTCTATGACTCCTCAAAGGATTCGAACCCAGGTGTCCACGGTGTCCCCATCAACAGCACTGGTTGCCGGTGCAGTGGTCAGAGTACCAGTGCACCGGCGACACCCAAGGTGGCCCGGGGTTTCAATCCTTGGAGAGGTCATAGAGTCTTAAGTGATGTGTGTACCATCTTCGAATCCTTGGAGAGGTCATAGAGTCTTAAGTGATGTGTGTACCATCTTCGAATCCTTGGAGAGGTCATAGAGTCTTAAGTGATGTGTGTACCATCTCGCTACAAGATATTCTTGGCTCTTGTGTACAGAATACAATACAAGAGCAAGTGTACAGAATCATGACAATCATTTCTAGCTATTGTTATGGCCTTGGAGTTCTTATGTTTTTATCTGGGTAATTATGATGGTGTTATGGGTGGTATAGTTAGAGTGTATGGTGGAGATACAGTAGTGTGAACCTTGAGAGCAGTGGTTCTTCCTCACTAAGGCAATAAACATCATACCTACATAGACCTACTATCCACCACGGGCTCTTTTATGTCTATAATATTTTCTATATGAACTGTTATAGTTACTTCTTAGCAATAACACCACCGTCTACCACACCTACCACCTACCCGCCTTAGCTCCACCACCACCACCAATGGTGCCTCATCTCTCACAAGGTTTACTGACCTCAGTGGCAAGTCTGATCTCCCGTTGTATCTCCCAGCGGGTGAGGTCCTGGGGCTTGCCAGTCTTCTCTCTGATCTTGGTCGGGTAAGCTCGGATCCTGAGGGCGAGACAAACACGTTTTGAGCTCACAGTAATGTGCTAACACTGATCTCTCTCTCTCACACACACACTTTCTCACAGCCACAACATATGTCTTACTCTCTTAACAGCGTCTAAGAATATGCGCATACATTAACATGTCACAAACCTATTCCATACCATTACGTACATATATGTGTGTGTGTATTCACCTATTTGTGCTTGTGGGGGTTGGAGCTGTGGCTCTCAGGTCCCACCTCTCAACAGTAAATCAACTGATGAGTGTGTGTGTAATTATATTATATATTAAAGTTTCTTTATAAAGTACTGTTGAGGGTTGAAGGATGCATAATCTTCTCAGGTTTTAGACCGGTTATGGGGACAGGAAGCCTGCACTTAGGCTTATCACTGACCCCCCCCACCAGGATGAAACCCCTCAATAGTTACCTAACTCCCAGGTACCCAGCTACTCCAAGGTGAACACAGAAGCACCTGGTGAATGGAAGCGTGCCGAACCGCTTCTACCCTGCCGGGATTGGCCCCTGGGTGGTAAGTTGAGTACTACTTACCTGAGTTCCGCGAGCGCTATGTCATGGGTTCGTATCCTGGCCGGGGAGGATTTACTGGGCGCAAATCCTTAACTGTAGCCTCTGTTTAACTCAACAGTAAAATGTGTACTTGGTTGTAACAACGATTCTTCGCGGCAGGGGATCGTATTCCAGGGACCATAGGATTAAGGACTTGCCCGAAACGCTACGCGTACTAGTGGCTGTACAAGACTGTAACAACTCTTGTATATATCTCAAAAAAAAAAAAAAAAAAAAAGATGAGTACTATAGGTAAGTAGACCTGCCTGGTCTACTTACCTATAGGTTCAAGTACGTTTATTCAGACATTGAGATATATCTCAAAAGGATAGAGTAGTTTAGGTTATTTCGACCATCCTATACCTAAAGGTATAGGTATTATATAGGTATATAAGTAGACCAATAAGCGTAAGGGACCTCCCGGTTGAGTGAACAGCGCTCGGAGTCGCAGTCCTAATGACACTAGGTTCGATTCCCGGCGGAGGCAGACAAAAGAAAAACAGTTAATGAGCTCCGAAGCACCAGGCGGCAGTTTATAACAATAACAACAGTTGATTGGGAAGTTTTCATGCTTGTAAACTGTTTAATAAGTGTAACCAAAACCGTCAAAGATTGAGGAAAGATGTACACGTTCGTAAGTGCTTGCGTAACTGCTTCGTGATTCTGGCTCCAGGGCGACCTAGGAGTCGAGCGACGCACATACGCACCCCACGCATTCATGCGCAGTAAACACACAACAGATGCGTGCCAGGTACCCTGTATGCCCAGCAAGCATACCCTAAGTGCCAGGTACCCCTGTATGCCCAGCAAGCATACCCTTAGTACCAGGTACCCTGTATGCCCAGCAAGCATACCCTTAGTACCAGGTACCCTATATGCCAGGCAAGCATACCCTTAGTGCCAGGTACCCTGTATGCCCAGCAAGCATACCCTTAGTGCCAGGTACCCTGTATGCCCAGCAAGCATACCCTTAGTGCCAGGTACCCTGTATGCCCAGCAAGCATACCCTTAGTGCCAGGTACCCTATATGCCAGGCAAGCATACCCTTAGTGCCAGGTACCCTGTATGCCCAGCAAGCATACCCTTAGTGCCAGGTACCCTGTATGCCCAGCAAGCATACCCTTAGTGTACAAAGAGTCCCATATTCGTACAGATCTCCTCCTTCGTACAGGAAGGGCAGTCCCCCAATGTAGACATTAATTCTCTCCACCAGTTCCAAAATTCTCTTGGGTTATCTTGAGGTTATCTTGAGATGATTTCGGGGCTTTAGTGGGTCAACTTAATCCTTATATAATTTCAACATTATTTAACATAGACAAAGAGTTTTGACCGTTCATTGACTGTACCGTTGCGGGGGGAGGGCCTCAGGGTCTTCGCTAAGAGGGTGACGACGACGAACTTTACAGAAAACGTTCGAACTTCTTCGAATGTAGGTTCGAACCCTCGTCACGGCCCTTGTGGATTTGTTCACAGAAAACCTTTGTTTGGTGGACTGATCGAGCTAGGTAACGTCCACCCCCAGATTTGGTAAACACTATGTCCCAGGACCCTGGGATACTGTGAGTTATGTCCCAGGACCCTGGGATACTGTGACTTATGTCCCAGGACCCTGGGATACTGTGAGTTATGTCCCAGGACCCTGGGATACTGTGACTTATGTCCCAGGACCCTGGGATACTGTGAGTTATGTCCCAGGACCCTGGGATACTGTGAGTTATGTCCCAGGACCCTGGGATACTGTGAGTTATGTCCCAGGACCCTGGGATACTGTGAGTTATGTCCCAGGACCCTGGGATACTGTGAGAACAGTGCCAACAGCCAGGAACAGTGCCAACAACCAGGAACAGTGCCATCAGGAACAGTGCCAACAGCCAGGAACAGTGCCAACAGCCAGGAACAGTGCCAACAGCCAGGAACAGTGCCAACAGCCAGGAACAGTGCCATCAGGAACAGTGCCAACAGCTAGGAACAGTGCCAACAGCCAGGAACAGTGCCAACAGCCAGGAACAGTGCCAACAACCAGGAACAGTGCCACCAGGAACAGTGCCAACAGCTAGGAACAGTGCCAACAGCCAGGAACAGTGCCAACAGCTAGGAACAGTGCCAACAGCCAGGAACAGTGCCAACAATCAGGAACAGTGCCAACAGCCAGGAACAGTGCCAACAGCTAGGAACAGTGCCAACAGCCAGGAACAGTGCCAACAGTCAGGAACAGTGCCAACATCCAGGAACAGTGCCACCAGGAACAGTGCCAACAGCCAGGAACAGTGCCACCAGGAACAGTGCCAACAACCAGGAACAGTGCCACCAGGAACAGAGCCAACAACCAGGAACAGTGCCACCAGGAACAGAGCCAACAACCAGGAACAGTGCCAACAACCAGGAACAGTGCCACCAGGGACAGTGCCAACAACCAGGAACAGTGCCACCAGCCAGGAACAGTGCCACCAGGAACAGTGCCAACAACCAGGAACAGTGCCAACAACCATGAACAGTGCCAACAGCCAGGAACAGTGCCACCAGCCAGGAACAGTGCCACCAGGAACAGTGCCAACAACCAGGAACAGTGCCAACAACCAGGAACAGTGCCACCAGCCAGGAACAGTGCCAACAACCAGGAACAGTGCCAACAACCAGGAACAGTGCCAACAACCAGGAACAGTGCCAACAGCCAGGAACAGTGCCACCAGCCAGGAACAGTGCCACCAGGAACAGTGCCAACAACCAGGAACAGTGCCACCAGGAACAGTGCCAACAACCAGGAACAGTGCCAGCCTGTTAACGATATATGTTACAATGACGTGGCTGCCTGACTACCCAGTGACGTCACCACTTCAAGACAGTTTGGCATTGTTTGTGAGCGGTTTGTTGGCTGTGTGTTGTTTGTTGTGGGTTTGTTTGTTGTTTGTGAAGTGTGGGGGCGTTGTTAGCGTCTATAAAGGCTGGCATTACCCGCCGTATAATCTTCCTGCATAACACAACAGTCTGCTTGTCTATGCTGTCTACACCTAACAGTAGTGAGAGACATGATATAAACAAATGGGAATATAAGTATAGGTTTTAAATATATCAATATAGAACAAGAAATAATGGTCATGACTTTGATTAAGTTTAGGAAAGACCTGGGTAAATACTGGTTGTTTAAACAGGGTTGTTGATTTGTGGAGCAGTCTACTGGGTGACACAATAGACATAGGATATGTAGATTGTTTCATGCGTAGGTTACACATTATAGGAGTGAGTTTGTGGGGATATAAAGTAGAGCTGCCTCGAATGGGCCAATAGGCCTTCAGCTGTTTCCTTAATTCCATTGATTGTTAATTCCGCTGGTTAGAGAAATAAATAAATAAATAATAAAAGTTATTTAAATAATTGTTTAAAAGTTGATGTTTAAAAGTTTTTGTTTAATTGTTTAAAAGTTTATAAATAATAAAAGTTAAAGGGGAATAAAAGTTGTTTTAAAGTCTAAATATTTTTGTGACTTATAAATGTGTGTGCAGTGTATTTGATAAAGCTAAGTAGTTATATATATATATATATATATATATATATATATATATATATATATATATATATATATATATATATATATATAGTATAGTTTTGTCTTAGATATAGCTACAGCCCTGCCACTGGCAGACTATATATCTGATATGTATATTTCTGCCTTCTCCTGGATTTACCTGCATAAGGTTTTGAGAGTTCTACTCCACGTTGCCGTATTTTGTCTTCACCAAAGGATGAGAGGAGACTGCTTGCATAGGTCTTAATGAAAGACCTGGGTAAATACTGATTCCGTAATGGGGTTGTTGATTTGTGGAACCAATTACTGCTTAACACAATATAAGTAGGATCCCTTGATTGTTTCAAGCGTAGGTTAGACATATATATGAGATTGAGTAGATATAAATAGATGCTGCCTCGTATGGGTCATTAGGTCTTCTGCAGTTACCTTCATATGTTCTTATATTGAACTTCAGCTACCAAGCCCCGATTTCAGACCATTCTGTAGTTCAAATCATCCAGTACGGGCTCACCATAGCCCGTGTTACTTGGAATTTTTTGTTCCAGGTAGCGAATCTTTAACAACAAACATTCTGTAGTTTAATGAAACAATAGTTTTTTTTCCTTATATTTTATTTTATTATAATATTCTCTTAGTAACGTATATGTCGCTGTCATGTCCCCTCTAATTCTCTCTCTCGAGTACCTCAATCTTTCCTCTAAACTCAGGTTCGAGCCTCCTTGCATGTCTTTCCATCCTTTCATTTTTTTTTTAGACTGGGTTCCGTGCCTGCGCTTCATGTACAAGGGCTGGTCTGACGTAGGTTGTACATCTCCCTCTGAAGCCTCCTTTGTCCAAGTTGTTAATGGCTATCCGGTCGTTGATCAGTGTGTGAGGAGCTGGGGGAGAGTTGTTTCTAATGGGGGG